TGTTGTATTCTGGTGTCCTGATTCCCTGCAATTCCGATTCTCTTGATAGACTAAGGTGGGGAGAGTCAACTATTGTTAAGAGAAGCACTAGGGAACTGGGTATTCACTGAGGCCATGAAGCAAATGTGATCTAAATGGCAAGCGGCCCAAGATCAGGACAGAGAAGCAGCATCAAGCTTCAGGCCCAAGTGGTGAGCAAGTCATGGGCAAGGATGAGGCGGCAGGTCAGCCAGGATTGGGGGAGACAGGAGTAAACTGGGAAGTTACACAGAAACAGAAGGAAGAGGAGTTTCCCAACTTGGGCGCCACACAAAAAATATAGGGCTGAGCTCAATTTTTGGGGTGTGAGAAATGTGGGATACGGTGTGGCAGCAAGTTAAATGTACAGAGCTATGGCAGCTTTGAGAGAACAACCCAGGTTTGAACCTCACAGATCCACTTCGACAGAGATGTCCTTCCACCTCTGCTACTCCTGAGACAGCAAGACCAACCTCCCTCCCCTTCCTCCTCCTCAGCCTTCTCAACGTGAAGACAAAGAGACCTTCATGTTGGGCTTCCACTTAGTGAGTAGTAAATATATTAAATATATTTTCTCTTCCTTATGATTTTCTTCTTCCTTTCCTCTCCTCTCCTCTCTTCTCCTTTCCTTTCCTTTCCTTTTCTTGTCAGTGTCTCTCGCCAAGGCTGGAATGCAGTGGCATGATTGTGGTTCACTTCAGCCTTGATCTTCTGGGCTCAGGCAATCCTCCCACCTCAGCCTCCAAAGTAGTTGGGACTACAGGTACACGCCACCATACCTGGCTAATATTTTGATTTTTTTTTTTTGTAGTGATGAGGTCTTGCTATGCTACCTAGGCTGGTCTTGAACTCCTGGACTCAAGCAATCCTCTTGCCTCAGCTTCCCAAAGTGTTGAGATTACAGGCATGAACCCACATGCCCTGCATATGATTTTCTTAATAATATTTTCTTTTCTTTTATTGTAAGAACACAGTATATAATACATATAACACACAAAATATGTGTTATCAGTTGTTTATGTTATTGGTAAAGCTTCTGGCTAAGGTCAACAGTAAGTTATCAGTTAAGTTTTGGTCAGTCAGAAGTTAGACTTAAAAGTCAGAAGTTAGATTTCTGACTGTGAGGGAGCCAGCATCCCTAATCCCTGCATTGTTCAATGGTCAACTGTACATCCAAATTCCGCCCCCACTCCCTACTAGCTCTGCATGTGACCTTGGTCAATCACTTACTATCTTTGTGTAAAATAGGAATGAAGCATCTGACTTAGTACCTAGCTCCACGGAGGGTCTGCTCAACAGTGCTGGTTCCCTTTTTCCTTTATGGATACAATTGACTCATGATGACCCAGCACACGTGCCTGTTTTAACCCTCTTGTTCAGTGACACACTTTGCTCTGAGCCAAGTGCTGCCTTTCCTTTCACTTTTTATATCTTCCTTAACAGTTGGTTAATAGATTTACTCTAAACACACAAAACTTGTAGTAGTTAGGCCTTGAGTCAGGAAAGTACGTGTTCTTTGAGAATGCAATCTAACTGGAATTTTGCCAAAAGTAGGGGAAAAAATAAAGCACACTTTGAACTTTTTGTTAATATTATATCTCTGTCATCACTTTCTCTTTTAGCCAGGATCATTTCATTTTGCAATTTAAGTAATACTCTCGGTCCTTTGAACAATTCCAGTCATGCAAAGGGCAAGTTGGTATGAGCTATTCTCACTTAGATTCCTGCCTAGATAAGATTTGTGACACAAAAAGAAAAAAAAAAAAGTCCATAAAAAAAAAAAAAAATGAGGGAAAGAAAAAAGAGACAAGACAATGCAGCTAAGATCAATCCATTAATTATTGGAGTTTATTTCCAAGCAAGTGAAAACAATGCCTTATTGAAGGATATGTAGCAAAGATTATTTTTTTTAGAACTGATTTTTCCTTCAGTTACAGAGTTCCAAGTTTTTTTAGACTTCAGATGTGCATGGCTAACTTTGCCTCCTTTGTGGCTTGGTTAGCCTACCTAGCCTTGTACCTAATGAGCTAGTGAGCTGTGAGTGGAATTTCTTAGGTGAATCGACAACAAAGGATCCTTGAAAGGAAGATAGTGAGGGTTCAACCTTGTCTTTCCCTCTTCATGGAAAGGAGACAAGATGGCTGGTGCTGTATAGAAGCTGTTATGGACCATGAAGCAGCTTTGAAGATAGAAAGCCTGGGTCCTTGAAGACTCCACAGAACTGTCATCCCAGTCTTGGACTGACTACCCCAGGTCTTTTTCACATGAGGGAATAGATTCTTCTGTGTTTAAGACACTCTGGGCTGGGCAGTGGCTCATGCCTATAATCCTAGCATTTGGGAGACTGAGGCGGGGGACTGCTTGAATCCAGGAGCTCAAGACCAGCTTGGGCAACATAGCAAGACTTTGTTTCTACAGTAAATCAAAGAATTAGCTGGGCATGGTGGCGTGTGCCCATAGTCTCAGCTACTCAGGAGGCTGAGGTAGAAGGATGACCTGTGCCCAGGAGGTTGAGGCTGCAGTGAGCTGTGATAGTGCCACTGTATTCCAGCCTGGTTGACAGAGTGAGACCTTGACTCAAAAGACACTCTGTTATTGGACTATGAATGCAGTTAATAACTGGCTTAAAGTGATTTCATCTCAACCCACATCGGTTGCCTCCTCCAATTAATGTGTATGTCTAGACTGCATGGGAAGTTGACCCAAGGAAAATCCATATTCATGGTGCCCTGATGTAGATAGCGGAGTACATCCTGAGCTGGCTGGAGGAACTTGGGACAGTAATCGAACTCCTTGGGCCACTGAGTATGCCTTACAGTGGCTACCTAAAAAAGAAAAGTAAGTCTATTCATTAGGAGTGATAAATAAGGAAGGTAATAAACTCTCTACCTCTCATACCTCTACAACCTTGGATGCTCTCACAGTCAGGGTGGTCTTCTGCAAGGATATAGCTGATGACAGATATGAAGTTACAGATACTGCTACCTGACTCCTGCTGATACTCCATCCACCCTTCAACATCTGTTGTTTGTTCTAAAGGGCATGTCCTAGGGGTCACTTTAAGTCTCAAAGTATCATTATCTGTATTAAAAAAGAAGAGCATCAGCCGGGCTCGGTGGCTCAGCCTGTAATCCCGCGCCTTTGGGAGGCTGAGGTGAGTGGATTGCCTGAGCCCATGGGTTCGAGACCTGCCTGGACAACTTGGTGAGACCTCATCTCTACAATAAATCAAAAATGAGCCGGGTGTGGTAGTGCACACCTGTAATTCCAGCTACTTGGAAGGCTGAGGCGGAAGGATCGCTGGAGCCCAGCAGGACAAGGCTGCGGTGGCCGGGAGCGGCCACTGCACTCCAGTCTGGGTGACAGAGTGAGACTCCAACTCAAAAAAAAAGAAGAGCATCAAAAGAGCCTGACTGTGCTCAGTCTCTTTTATTTATTTATTTATTTAATTTATTTTTTATTTTTGGGATCAGTCTCTTTCTGGGGACATTTTGTTCTCATTAGATTTAGCCTTTTCATTACAGTGACTGATCCACCACTGAATCCCATTGTTTCATCCTTCAAAATGCCCTTTCTTCCAGTTCCCATAGCTTGTACCCTAAAACTGGTCCACAGAACCTTATGCTGAGATTAACGCAACACCTTCCTAACTAGCCTGCCTCTCATGATGTCAGCGCCAGACCACTTTGCCTGAAAAACCACTTTCAGTGTGCTTCTCCAAAGCTAATAGGTTTCTCAACTTCCTGTTACCAACTACATCAAACCCCTGCTCTTGTCTGAGTTTTAAGGATATCTATGACCTGGTCCCAAGCTGAATTTCCTCTTTTGCCCCAACACACCCCTTAGTTGCATTCTCCTGATGTCTGTAAACAAGCCCCAGCCCTTCCTGGTGTAAAGTCAAGTTCATGTGGTTCCTGTCTGACTGAATACGTTTTCCCATCAGCTTACCAAAAGTTTAGTCATCCTTGGGAGGGGTGTACAGAGTTCAAGAAAATAACATAGTGCTAGCTAGTTGTCAGTCATAAAATCCTTGAATATACCTATAGCCTGCAGCCCCCCTCCCCCACTTGGAAATGTCCCACCTTCCTGGACTGAACTGGTGTAAATCTCACATGGATTGATTGACAACTTCTTGTAACTTCTGTCCTTCTTAATTGTATATAAACAAGCTACCATTCAACCACAGTGGACACACGTTCTCAGGACCTCCTGCTACAGGTCTAAGTCCTCAGGGTTGGCCAGAATAAAACATCCTAAAGTATTTTAGAGTTTGGCATCTTTTCATCAGCACAGCCCTAGGGGTAAAATAAAGATAAATGTATGCAAATCCTGCGGTGCAGGCACATCGCAGGTGTCCACCAGCGCTATTATCTGGCAGTCTGGCTCCTGTCCTGACTCTGGCCTGGAAGAGGTCCCAAGGTCAGTTTACTTGCAAAACAAGGTCACTCGGGACACGGAGCAAAACGGTTAAATACAGGTTAGAGGGGCATTGGCTCTACACCCTCTACTATCAGGCTCACTGGGCGGCGCATGATCCCGTCTCCCCTAAGAACGAGAATGGGCCCCTGAGCGGGGCGAACGTCTTTCCTTGGGGAGCCTCCTGACACCACCACTGACAGTCCAAGCCCGCCGGAAGAGAAAGGGGCGGTTCCGCGGCCGCGTGCTTGACGATCCCGACCGGCACCCGGAGGGGGCGGAGACGGGGGGGGGGCCCCGTGGCTTCGGGCCGTACCAACTCTACACGGGGGAGGTCCGACCTTCCCTTGGCGACACGCCCCCAAAGCACTGCAAATAAACCCTGAGGACAAAATGCCTATCTACTTCTCCCAC